GCCCGCCCTCCCTCCAGCTCCCTGAGCCTGAGCCTCAGAGGTCACAGCCAGCAGAAGCTTCTGGATTATTCTTCTCATTGTATCTGAGACAATCTGCTTCACGTTCAGATACGTTCAGGGGGGAAAAAAAGGCAAAATATTCTTCTTGCTTTCGACTCTTTCAGAAAAGCATAAAAAAAAACACACATACGAACACAAATCACTTGACAATTTTATGATTAAAACCAACAAATGGAAAACAGACAGTTCTAAGCGTTGCTAACATAATCAAGCGTTTCTTGCCAACCTGCTCGACCACCCCATGCCTCAGATCTATTTCTAGATGTACCAAATGTGTCGGCAGATAAAATCACTTCTGCACTTCAAAGAGGTCTCCAGTGTTGGCACTGGAAGACAGAGCTCCAGGGGACAGGTCACTGTTTCACGGGAACCAGTTTCCTGTCTCACAAAACACTCAAGAGTCAGGTTCCCAAGAAGTACTTGGTGCTGTGGCCACGTGCGCAGACACTGCCTGAGACACCACGTGGAGGAGTGACATGGAGGATGGTTAGCGTCTGCTTTATAAGAACAAGAAATCCCGGGACAAGGTCATCGGCATAGCAGTGAACAAAGTCCTCCATGGGCAAGTCTGAGGTGGGGCTTGGGGCTGAGCATTGTGTTTACAGTTGACAAAAACAGTTTTAGTCACTTGGCCAAAACCATACAAAGGGAGGGAACTGAAAACCCTGGGCGGGACGACTTGACTCTCCCGGCATTTTTCTGCTGGAAGCGGGATAAAAAGCCTTGAATTTTGGCTGCTTCTCTATTTATGTAACAACCACAGCTGCTCCCCAGAATAGCTGCTGCTGGCTGAAAGAATCAAGGGCCTTTGTTGCTAACATTCGAGTCCATTTTCTATCGCTCTTGACTGAGTTTCCTTCCTTTCCCTTTGTGCCCTGGTCTACAAGGAGACGAGGAATCTCACCGTTAGCTCATCAGTGGGGCCATCGCTTATGTGGATGGATTTTAAAGTCAAGGCTCATCTTCTCAGTAAGAACAAATTCTGTGGCAGGGGATCGCTTGACTCCCAGAACGTATGAACTTCCCACTTTCGGAGGGTGGCCGTGAGGCCGATGGCCAGGCCCTTCCCATTCACAACTCCCAGAGAGAGGAACAGACAGTGCTCCTTCTGGGTTTCTGTGGGACCGACCCAAGCCTGGGCTGTGGCTTAGCATTGAATAGGGTGCCCTCCCCAGAAAGTAACAAAGACGACCCTCGTCAAAGCTATCAAATGCATTAAAAAAATACAAAAGTTATTTTCTCCTTTTGATGGCTATTTACTTGTGACAACATTTGTTAAAAATATTACTTCTGTCTTTGGGAAGAGATCATTCTCTTCATATAATATGGAAAAATAAACTCTACCAAACCCACAGTTCACATTGTCCACGACTGCCCTGGGGCGTCAGCTTTTGCATCTCCAGACACTGTCACCAGTGTAAATGTGCTACGTTTTCAGGTAGGGAAACATTTCTCACTGTACTATCCAGGGCTGCAAGGAAGAGGCAAAGAAAGTGACCAGGTTCCTGTATCACTGAAGGGAGAGAATTAGGGAAAGAGGGTGGTTTATTTGCTAATACAATGAAGGTAACAGGGTGGTTTTGGGCCCTCCTAAAAAGTCATGGGATGTCCCCTCATCTCTTCTGACCTCCTGCTGCCCAGCTAATTCTTGGTAGATTATTCACGGGAAGGTAGGGAGCCGTTAGGTGTCATTGTCAATTCTCGGTGTCATTGCAAAGGAGGGCTCATCATTCGCACCCGGGAGCATCATAAGACACTGAACTGGATGAATGGGAGAAGACAAAGATACATAAAAACAGTAAAATGTTTATTTTCTTAGAAAAAAAAGTGGGGAGGAAGGATTTGAAATGATTGTGATCACACTTGCGTCTGCATCTGAGCGAAGCCAATGTTTGCAAGCTTAATCCTTGATTACGATACCCAGTAAATGAAACAACCTGCTGCGCTCCTGGGTCACTTCCAGGAGTCAGGTCACAACATGCTTTTAATCGATACGAGCTTCTCTCCTTCTTAGCAGAGAAACACGGCTCGCCATAGCAACCATCCCATCTCCAAAGCACAACATCGCCAGTGAGAAGCAAGGCTCCGGGCCGCTCCGGGACAGACAGGGCGGAAGGACAGAGGGAAGGAGACGCGGAGAAGCGGAACGCTCTAGAACAGAAGTTGGATAATCTGAGTTCACCACTACCTCGTCTTATAGAAAATAGGTTGGAGAGCCTCTGTAAAACCAACAGTATCTTTAAGGTGAAATCGCAGAATTTTGCTGCATACCTGGACACAAGAGAAGTGAAAAGTTGCAACGAGTTTTAACTAGCAGCAACAAAGAAAGTTCAATGACAGTTTTTTTTGTTTGTTTTTAGCAATATTCCTTTGCAAGTTCATTGGGAAACACTGTGATTTAATGGGGCATACGATATGGAACGCTCTTCTTTTGCTATAGCGCTGTTCCTTGAAGAGGACCGACCTTTGTAAAGATTTCGACTGGGGTGTAACCTATTTACACAGTAGTAGCTCCTGGTTTGAGTGTCCGATTGGTGCTATGTGACATCCTCTTCTTCCGAACAGTAATCTCGACCCTGGAGGGGAAAAAGAGAAGAGTAACGTGTGAATGAGAAACTCAGGGCAGAGCCGGAGGCAGTGACTTGCATCAATTTCCTCCCAGCACATGTCTCCTTGCACCAAAACCCAGGCCCACCAGTGACACTGGGCACAACACAGCTACGTCATAACTACGTGTTTTATAAACTGTATGCTACAACCTCAAAGCATGGCAGTTTTACCAAGCCCCAAATAAACCCTTACTTTATTATTCGTAAGAACTTATACTAGGCATATACAAGACTTGGCTGTTCACCAAGGGATTTCCAAATGGACGCTCCATTTAGGAGACCAATTTCTCATGATCAAGAAAAGCTGAAATGAACAATGAACGTGTCCCCTTCTGCTGGGGTCAGGGCTGCTAGCATTTTATAGTTACATCTCCATGCCCGGAGTTTACAGTTTTACCCAAGGGAATGGAATAATCCAGGGATGTCTTAGTTTTAATCCACTCTAAATTAAAATAGGATTTTTAAAAAAACCAAACAAGGACTCGATGACGATAACATATCTAGGACTGTGTTTGGTATGTGTGGGATATACAAGAAAGGCAAAAATGCTTCTGATTCATTCACTAACCAAGCAGGTTACTAGAAGGCTTAAGGACTCTGTACAATTGTTATATGTGAACATATTCTGTCTTCTCTCCAGGAAGGCGCTGTGAGGACTGGGATTTAAGCTCCACATCTGACCTGGCTGGGTTGCCTCGGCCAAAGCACACGGCTTCCTGGTCTGTAATCCATCACAGAACAAAACACCTGCCTGCGTCACAGTGTCACAGACAAGGGCTTTGCGAAAAGTCATGGTTAACTGTTTGCATCCTTTGACCTTTTTCTTTTAAAATATAGGAGTTTCAAAAACAGAATTTTCTAAATAACTGGTACATAGTCATAAAAGTATCTAAAACTTAAAGAATATAATAATTTTACATACAAATATTTATCAAGTGTATTGCATGTTTCTTTGTCATAATATCTGTATATTGGGATATTTCCCATTCTCCTAATATTTTAAGTATCGCTCTGACTTACTAGCTCTGGGGTCTCAATTAAGTTACCTCTCTGAGTTTCAGTTTCCCCACCTGTAAAATGGAGATAACAACAGTACCTGCTTCACATGGTTGCTGAGGATGAAATGAGTTAATAGTAGTCAAGTGATCCCATAGTGCCTGGCACATAATTTACACATGTGGTACGTGTGTGTGCACGTGTTTGATAAATTAAAAAATGCTACCACACAATGAGGTTGCCAGGGCCTGCCTGTTCCCAGGCGAAACAGCCGCAGATTGCTTGTTCTCTGGGAATGTGATTCGCTTATTTGCATGTTTTAGTTTCTTCCACCATCAGATTGCCAACTCTCCCCCTGCTCCTTGCAGGGTGTCTGACCCCAGTGTCGCCTCCAGGCGTGTTTTACTTCCTGCATGAAAAGGCCTCCTGGGCAGAGAAACTGGGCAACCACCTTCCTGAGAAGAGAAATGTGCAAGCAGCAGTCATCCCACAGTGACAGCCTCCCTGGTGACATCTCCCAAGCGAATGGTGACTCATCCCCAGCCTTGGCCCAGACCACTCAGAAGACACTCTCCAGGCCACATGCTGAAGAGTTAGGAAGGGGAACCTCACGGACACTGACTGTTGAGAGTTTACTCTCCGGTGTGGGAAATAGGGCACACCGGCACATAGCAATGCAATGCTGGAAACCTACCGGGTGGTGTTGCCCCACAGCCCCAACTCGTGAGGCCCAGGAGCAGACCTGCAGGGGGACACGGGGTGTTCAGCTCGAGGGGAAAGGCAGGGCTCATGGAGTTTTCATCAAGAAAGGACAGAGGACATTTCCAGCGTATATGTGGACACACACACTGTTGTGTGACATCAGGCAAATTACCGGGCTTCGGTTTCCTGGGGATAATCATAGTCTCTGCCTCATAAGGTTGTGATCAGGATTAAGTGGAAACGATACAGTGTCTGGCAGGGAGTCAATACATATTAGCTGCTGATGTTATTACTACAACGATTAAACTCATGTTCGTTCAGTCCCCTGGCAGAGGAATAGGGACCTCCTTCCTGTGGCTGACAGGTGAGGACTGTGGCCATGAACTGTGATCTGACAGGTGCCAGGGAGTCCTTCCTCCCACCTCAGCCTTGCACCCAAGATGGCCAGAAGTTCATGATCTTGAATAAAGCTTCTATGGCAGACCCCTAAGTCCCTTCCCTTCCTATAGCTAAATCAGGCCTCAAATGGAAGTGAAGACCCAGCTGGCCAGTGTGGGGTTCAGAGGGTACCTCATCCACAGGAAGAAATGGGTCCATTGAAGGATAGACAGACAGACACACCCACACCCACACCCAGGCACACTCAGGTGAACTGGTGGCTCATTGATAAAGCAGAGTCCCCAACTCTATCAACGAGTTACAGGGTTATGAAGCAGGAGGTGCATTTCGGACCCTACAAGTTGACTGTTACCGTAAACAAGTGCCTCCTTCTGAGGAACAAATCTCTATAAACTGTGTAAACTCAAGACCCCAACTTCCATTTTCCAAGCATCTGCTCCTCTGAAATTACTCTAATTATTAGGAGAAAGAGCAGGAAAGCTGCATTTGTTGCTTTGCAGATATTATTTCATTGGTATTCACACCAACCCTGACCAACCCTGCAAGGAGGGAGTGGTGCCCTGTGACTTGTGGGCAAACCTCAGACAAGCCCAAGAACCCAGGGTAATCCTTGCCTTTTTTTCCCCCGCAACTGTAGTAAGTTGATAACTAAATTCAAATTCAAACCAGTTTCATTTTTGTTATTATCACCTGTCAGCAGCTCTGAGAACCAAATATTTTATAAACAGAAAACTTGAAAATCACAAACATCAAGAGTACGAGCTCCCAGGTGGCCGGTGGCGTTTTAAGAAACGGAAACCTGAGAGAGCTGCGGCTTGAGCGGCCTCATCTCGGCATCACCTGGGGCCCCACCTGCACACCAGCCCTCCCGGGCAGGACAGGGAGCTTGCTTCTCTAACATGACTTCAGGTCTCATTTAAATTTTTAAAGAGCTGTGCTAAAAAGAGCACCTTAAAACCTTCAGCTGTCAGAAGGCAGGAAGTGGGAGTAGCTGGCTTTGGGAGACACACAGCAATTCTCGGAGCTGAAGGGGACTACAAAATGCAAGTCTTTGTAAAGAGGCTCTGGGCAGTTGGAATTAGCGACTGTTGGACACAATTCCACCCTTGTGCCAAGGCCACACTGAAAGCTACAGACAGCAAGATCCCTCCTAGGGCCCCGCAAGCTGGAGGACCGGAAAGGCCCAATGATGCTGACAAGGAAGGGTTGTTGAGGGAACCACATGGACATTTCGGTGCAGGCACACAAAAATCACAGCTTTTGCCTGCTGAAATTTCCCTGACTGTGCCCTTACTCTGCACAGGAACACCCTCTATGCTCTTCTGTTGTCCAAATACTTTCTTGGAAACTTAAAGAAGTTTATGTCAACTCAGAACATACATTTCCAAGGCTCTGGGGGTAGAAGGTTTTGTTTGCTGAGATGTCTAGGCTAAGAATTAGAGATATTAAGGAAAGTACATTGCCCTAATTTTAGATTCTGCAAGTTTAAAGAGGGACGCCCAAAGAGTGACTTTGAGTAAAGAATCTGTTCCTGCAAAGTGCCTACAGTACCTTTCTTCCTTAAGTTTAAGTACACAAATAGTCTAGGGCTGGCAGTCCCGTTTCAGGTGCGATTCTATCCTTTTAGTCTTTAGTATGTTTTTGTAGATGATTGTGCATTGGGCCTAATACATACACCTCAGGAATATAACAATTAACTGTGAACTGCATATTTTCCCAGTGGAGGTAGATCAGAGCTAGATGAAAGTTACTGAGATGAAGCGCTGAGCCTCAGTTTCCCCATCTTTAAAATGGGGACGGTAAGACCTAACTTGCAGTGTTGTTGTGGGAATTAGAAGTAAAATACAGAAGGTGTTTAACAAAGCTTGGCACATGGTAGGTACTTAATAAATTACAGCTCTTCTGGTGATATTGAAAAATGAGACTGCCCAGCTAGCGTGGTTAAGTGGTTGAGCACTGACCCATCAACCAGGAGATTAGTTAGATTCCTGGTCAGGGCACATGCCCAGGTTGAGGGCTCGATCCCCAATAGGGGCCATGCAGGAGGCAGCAAGGATTCTCTCATCACAGATGTTTCTATCTCTCTCTCCCTCTCCCTCTCTCTGAAATTAATAATAAAAAAAATAAGAAATAAAAATGAGATCAATAGATCCTATAGTTCATAAACTGCTTAGGTGAGAAATTAGGCCCATAGCTGAATCAGTCATTACATTCAGGTCCCTGGTCAAGCCGTGTACCTCGGGGCCTTGTCCTTCTTCCTTCCTGGCTGGCTCCCGTTGCCCTCATGAATCCATGACTTCTCATTTTCTAAATCTCTGCTCCAATGTCACCTCATTGTCTTCCCTGAACACCCTATACCCAATAGCACTTCTTACTCTGCTTCATGTTTACATGCCATTACCTGACATTATTAGATATTAATTCATTTCTTAACTGTCTTCCCCTTCGAATAGAAGTAAGGAGTGGGCAGGAACTTTTTTACACACTGTTGCATCCTCGGGACTTAGACTACTGTTGGCAACGTGTTAGATGCTTGATGAACATTTGTCGAATAAATGAAAGGATGAAAAATATCTAGAGAGTTCTGAAATTTGGGGGTTGGAAGAGGACCTAGAGGTGTTCCTCTCCGACCTCGCATTTAACCTAGGGCGGCCTCCGTTTACCACATTCCAGACGGGGAACCTTCTCTTTTCGGCTGGAACACATCAGATACTTTTCCAAGCTGCCTGTGAAACCGTTCAACAGTAGAGCCCAAACCCTGCCTTTTGCCCACAGAGTGGCTTAGTCTGGGCTTGGAAGCAGAGGACAGGTCTTCCCAGATCGAGAGCATCCCTCAGTCTACTGCCTGCAAATATCGTGGTTTCCACCTA